TATGTACAAATCATCCAAGCACCCAATTCCTGGCCATTTCTATAGGCTACATTTCATTAACATTGCTAAATATTATTAAACTGGAAAGAAATTAAAGATCCATGATCCATCTTTGATTGTCAAAAGAATTCCAGGTTCCAGATTTCACGTAGTATTTTCATCAGTCAGTTGTGGAGGTCTGATTGCTTAAAGCTTTATTTATATAGCGCCTTTTAAAAGTGTTTACAAAGTATTTGACAGAGAGATGCATATGTGCATTCACAGAAAAGAAAATGCAAATACAAACATAAAGTAGTAAAAGTAGTAAAACAAAGTGCAATAACCAGTTTATGTTAAAACAAAAATACAACAATAAAAAAGGCCTTTAGTCTTTTTAAAAGTGCATAATGATAGCTTTTGACAACGTTTAATTCAGGTGCGAAAAGAATTAATATCTAGCGCATGAGCACAGAGAGATTTGCGAGTGCACAGTTTGAGTGCGAGGAGAGACACGTTTTTTAAGTGCACGCACACTCTGTGGGCGAGAGCAGCGTGTATCTGAGCGCGAGCGTCCGGTTTTGTGCGAGAGCAAAGGAAATCCGCGTACGGATTATATTAATGTGCTTTCGCGCTACAATAATGCGCTCTCGACATTTGTCATTAAAATAACGCCATAACATATATGTTAATGTAACTTTTTTATAAATAGATAGAATACCTTATTAAAAAGCCTTAAAAATACAATATATTTTATAATTTTCTATAATAATAATTATTAAAATATTAATAAAATATATATTTTATATTATTAATAATATTTTAATAATACTAATGATTATTGGTAATTATTTTTAATTATGTATTTAATGAGATTGCATATGATATGAACATATAAATATAAAACAGTGTTATTTATTCATTATGTATTTTCTTTCTGCAGCACGTGTGAATCAGGAAAGCTGGTGGACTGTATTAGTGTGGAGTGTGACGGTAAGAGGTTTAGAGATGCTCTTGTGTCTGTCGCACACTCTCTGATGTGTGTGTGAGACTCTGTGTGTGTGTGTGTGTGTGTGTGTGTGTGTGTGTGTGTGTGTCG